AAACGCCCAAAAAGTAGGTCCTGCGTCTGGCCGGCTGGCGATCCATAAATAGTTTCGCATTTAAATTTTGCAGCAATATAATTTACTTTGTTGCTCTTTGGGGGGTGACAAGTGGAGAGTGGGTGGGGGGGTTGGTGGTTGGTGGCTGGGAGGCTTTGGGGAATTCAATTTGCACGCACATGCACAATTGAATTTTGAATGCAAAGTGGCTACGATATCGAATGCATTATTAATTTACCACACATGCAGGGACACGCACACACACACACACACACACACACAACCTTGGGATGTCCTCCCTTGCAGGACGAGAAAGGGAGAGCGGAAATATGGTTTTTCACTTTCGCAAAAACCTCCCCTGGCCCCAACTGTCGTCCCCTAAGTATCAATGATGATGATGTTGCTGGCAGAAAGAGAATTTCAAATGTCCATTTAATGTCATTAAGTTTTGGGTCTTAGCTTGGCCTAGGACTTTGTCGTCCTGCTAAAGTGTCGTTCGTGTGTGTGCGTCTAAGCCTCTGAATGTCCTTTTCTTATCTTCACTTGCATTTGTGGTAGGGTAATTAGAGCTCTTCGATGTGTGGGTCAGGGCGATTATGCTAAGCCACAAAGGAAAGCCTCGGCTAAACTATATTTAATAATTGAGCGCATTAGCGTATTATCCTTGGATAAGCCACAAAAGGGGTTCAATTATATCCCAACTGCAAGTAAATCCATTTATAGCTCGTATTTGTAATCCATTTTTCACTTGGAAATGTTTCTGTAATCTGCATGCCAATTTAATATCTTTATTTCTGTGTCTCAGTCGATTGTTGGAATCTTTAGGTCTCGCTTTGAGGATGATTACATTGTCAACTGGAAATGTGAAACTGCCTGCAGCTAAATGAAATCAATAACTTGGCCACCAGACCGTGCCATAACTGCAGCCAAGCCAAGCCCCCCGAGCGGGCCTGACACGACCGTCACACAATTGAGGCCATGTCATTTGTTTAGTTTGTTGCCTCAATTATTTAGAGCCAGACCGAAGCGTGGCCCTGTCCAGACAGCACAGGACACACTCCCTAAAAACAATCAGTCTCTCTCCCCATCTCCGTCTCTTGGTCTTTTGTGGGTGCTGGCAGGCACTGAGTCCTGAGTCCTTGCGGTGTTTATCCAATTACATAAATTCTGTGCGACAATTTCGATTTGGGTTTCATTTTATTTAAATGCTGCATGCAGTCTGCCTGCCTTCAAGTAGATCGAAGAGCCCGATGGCTTCGTGTTATAAAATATTTATTGCCAGCAAATAAATTCCACACACTGACACGAACAGACGTCGTTATGGTAATTAATTTCAATGCAACACGAGACATGGCAAATCTTATTTATGCGAGAGCCTCAGTGTCTGTCTCTCTGTCTGTCTGGCTCTGAGCATTGGGATTCCGCATTTCTGATTTAGAAATTTTGGATTTCGACTTTTGTTTCTTGCTAATTGATGATGGTGGGTGGGGAGCCTCACGAAAAAGAGGCGGGACACCAATGGGGAGCGCAAATCAAAGGCATATGCGTGTGTGTGTGTGTGTGTGGCACATTCAGGCAACCGCAACAAAATCAATTGCCTGTCCAGAAGCCTGGCTGCATATCCATGTCAGGAATGGCCCAGCAGGCATACAGGAAGGACAGCTCAAGTCAACTTTGCGGCTCATGCAAAATTTAATTTTAATTTCCACTGAGCAAATGTTGCAAAAGTGAGAACAAGGCAATTTCCTTTGCCGCCCCCAAGCCAGCGCCTAGACATGCCCCAACGCCCATGGCAGCCTGCTTGAATGGATGATGGGGTGGGGGAGTGCTAGAGCCTTACGGTATACACATTTTAACCACTTGACTGCATTGTGGCTTTGGCTTAAATGCCGGCCAGAAGTCAAACACAGGCCAAGAGAATCGTTCAAGTTTTGGATATGCCCCTCCCACTCCCACACCCACTCTCCCTCTTACCCGCTACGCCTTCCTGGTCTGGCAGCAATAGTGTGTTTTTGCCAATTGACATGCAGACCTGCCTGGCAGCCGTAAATCGGCATAAATAATTCATTATTGCCGCCTCGATGCGCATAAATCAAGTCGCTTTGGCCCTGGCCCGACTCTTGAAGAGCAGCCACACACAGGCAGCCAGCCACACGGAGCAAACAACTCCGTCTTTGCGATGTGTTTAGAGCTACGATGTGCTCTAAAAATATATTTCAAGTTCAAAAAAATGAAATAAAGACAAAAAATTGACTTGGAGATGCCGGGGATTGAACCCGGGGCCTCTCACATGCAAAGCGAGCGCTCTACCACTGAGCTACATCCCCGTTGTGGACATGGCTGTCCAATGCGCGTTTTCCACGGCTGCACCTGAGATTGTAATGCTCTCAAATATATATTCAGGTGGGCTAATAAAAGTTGGAAAGTACTTAACATCATCACAAGAAGATGCTAAAAATTCAAATTAATTAGAATAATTATACATTAGCTATGTAGCTTCTGCTTGGAAATAACTAGAATTAACGAAATAATATGTTGCTTTTCAATATTTGTTTATTTACTTTGCATTTTCCACACCTGAAGTCTGCCTTCTCTTTGCGTCTTCTGTTGGCATTTAGCGCCGCGATGTCCATCGGGGGATGTAGCTCAGTGGTAGAGCGCTCGCTTTGCATGTGAGAGGCCCCGGGTTCAATCCCCGGCATCTCCAAGTACATTTTTTTGTGTTTATTTTACATTTTTGTTGTGTTTTCTTGATGCTTGGTGGTGATGTTTTCGTGTGTTGTATTCGCCTCGAAAAATATACCGATTTCGAGATCACAATCGATCGCATATTTTCGCTTCTTCGTAAAATCGATAAAGTGATCCATGTGTACACCAGGGCCGCAGCAGTGTGAAGCAGCTCTCTCCCCTCCCCCACTCAGTGGGGGTTCCGCAGCACACACCACACACGAGCCCGCATGATCGTTTCAAGCGAAATGTAAAATGCACGTCACGCTCGTGAGAAAGGGATGGCCAGCTGGCGGGTGTGAGCGCACGGCAAAGAACAGAGCGAGAGGCAGGCAGACAGCCATGGGATTGGCCAGCGGTTTCGAATAGGTTCCGCTCGCCGGCTGCGCGTTGCTGTGCGCCCGACACTTTACTTCAAAAGATTGAACGATTTTTGCACGGTTTGAGCACAAGTTCATTTGAGTTTCCTTCCCCCGATCGAGTTTTTGTTCCGTTCCACTTGAGATTTGAAAAAGAGCCGAAAGGGCGTTGCCGCTTGTAAATTCAAGGGATGCCCCATACGTTTTTGGAGCACTTTCCATATTCTTCTCTTCAAAATCTAGGGTGTTCGTTTCGTTCTCCTTCATTTGGGAATGGAATGCAATTTAAATCATTTATTACCAAATCCCCTGGAGGATTAAAAGAAACTTTTTTATTGCAGGTGCACGAAACTTTTGCCAAATCTTGCGACAGCCCCAGCCACCGCCTCCAGAATTGCATTTTCTCTTCTTATTTCTTATTTTGGTTCTGCTTTCTGTTTTTGTTGTTGTTGTTTTTGCTTTGCATATAAATTTGTTGGCTGCCAGAGAGGTATTCTGCCTAATCCGGCGACGTTTCTTGGGTAGCTGCATTTAATTCCGCGCCATTTCCTATAAATATTCATGCTAAGGCGAGAACCCCCGCACCACCCAAGGGGGGTCCACGAAAGATAAACAGAAAACAGAGCAGGTGGCGCCCTTCAGTATGGCCTTAATTAAATGTAAAAGGAGTCGCTCCTTAAATGCAATCGGACTCCTAAGTGGCAACTTATTAGCAATCTCATAATTGCCTCGGCGCTCTTGCCACCATTCCTGTCTGCCACATGTGTCTGGGGCAGGGGCTATCGAGTTCTGTTGGCACAACTTTTTCAAAAACTAATTAAAACGATAAGAGCAACGAAGCAGAGCGGCGCAATGTCGCCAAAGAGGCCACCGAAAAGAGCACCAACAGAACGCAACTTTGACTATTTCGCTTCGATGTTTATCTGAAAGATATGTCCCAAATTTGCATTGGCATTCCCACCGTGCATTTGCCTTTTGTTTGCCGTCCACGTCCCAGTCCCAACATCTACACATGTGTAAGGATGCGGGCTGGAAGTCAATTTACTTCAATGGCCATGCGGAAATTAAATAAATTCCATGAGCAGACGAGCAAATGGCAGGTGGATACCACCAACACCCAACACCCACCCGAAAATGACAGTTGTCAGCTGTCAAACCGAAACCTATGACAAAAGTACAGTTGACCACAGCATGCAGTGACGGGCAACGAGACGGGAGGACATTTCTAGTTGCAATCTGATGTATTTCGTTATTTCGGCATGTTATGTTTACTTTTGCAGCATTTGATTACTTTTTCAAGGCTTGTGCTGGGCTGTACTGCCGGCTCAGTCATGTAAGAAGAGGCTTCCCCTTATTGTTTTACGAAATCCGATTGAATATGTTTGGGGAAAAAAGGATTTTCAGCATATGGTCGGTGGGAGAGAGGCACATCCTGTGCTCAAATTGATTTCCATACAGGTAATGCATTCAGTTGGAAACCACAGTGGCTACCGCTGATAAGAAGCTGCCTGGGGGTGGCGGTGCAGACAATGGGAGTAAACACAGTTGGGGAGTAGAATTAAGCGCCCACGGCAAGAATGAAAGCGAAATCATAAGCCGTTGAACATGGAATAAAGCTAAAACCAAAATTTGGTCTACAAATATTGTATATAACTGACTATTTCTCTGATTTTATATCTGATCTAAAAACTATCTAAAAGTATGCTGCACACTGCGCTGTCGCGTTTGGTTCGAGTGTTCGTTTGTTGAGTTCGAACGCGATGGGCTCTCTTTGGTATGAGCGTTTCGAATTTTGAGTGATTTTTCCCATACGAAACAACAATCACGATCAAACCCAACACAACTCGACATCGAACTCCAACTTGAGTGGCTGGTAAACACTCAATGCTAAACAAGTTACCAAAAAGCAAGTTAAAGTTAAAAAGCCCGCGAAAGCGTTAACACGTTCCCCACGGATCTACCCGAGCGCGCTATAGCGATAACAACAACTACAGCCACTCCTCTCTCTCTTGTGCGGCACTCACTTTGCCTCTCTCTGTGGTCGTGGAACATCAACAGTTAGTTTTACTGCCACCTGTGTTTCGTGTTTCGTGTGTTTCTCTCGGTTCGCGACGCTGCCAGCAGCTCCTTCATTAAAAGATAAGCAAGGCTTAAACGGCTACAACAACGCGTGTGTCGTGGCTGTGTGACTGCGTTTGCATACAAAAAGCAAAAGCAGCAGCAGGCAGCAACAACTACAAGCCGAGCAGTAGAAGAAGACGATAAAGAAGAGCAGCAAAAACAAGCACACATTGAAAGGGAATCTATTTGCCTGAACAACAAAAAAGCAAAGAAACGGTAAGTTGTGATGAAATTTGCACTCGACTCGTGTGTGGGCCAGCCTTGATACAGTTGTAGCAGCATTGACCACCACGATCTTGAGACAGTTGTAGAGTCATTGAATTTGAACTTCTTGACCTGACTGCCATTCCAATAGGTTTGCCGATGGGTTCAAAAATTCTATTTATACGTGCTGCCGTATAACCGACAGTTTAAATGCAACCCATCCACAAAATAGTTGTTAACGACTTAATGCTGTTAATAAAAACCCGTTTAGTTTGAGCGCTGGCCAAATTGAAAGCAATGAAAATTGCATTTGTAATAACTAAAATTTAATAAACAATTCGCACACGCAAACCAAAAAAGAAGCGGAGACAGAGTCACATATAGAGAGAGAGAGAGAGAGAGAGAGAGAGTGGCAGCGAAGAGGCCATAGAAAAAGAGAGAGGTAAAAAGCGAATCTCTATGCACTGGCTTTTAAACGCCATAAATAAACAAACGAAATTCAAATTAAAATTCATTTCTATTTCTGGCACAGCTCGAAAAAGTGTGGCCCTGCGTTAACTGTTTTCGTGCTGCGCTGCACTCGCCGCCGCCACTGCCACAAGCCTTACATAATAATTGTTTTGATTTATTGCCCTCTCTGTCTCTCTGCATCTCGGGCGGCATTCGCACACTCGCCACCCCTCCCGCTCTGGCACATTGCATAAGGCCGTTTTCAAATGCGACGACATGCATGCCATTTTTTTGTTGTTGCTGCTGTTGTCTCTTGCTTTGGCTTTGCTTTTGCTTTTGCTTTGCTATTCATAATTCGCTTTCAACTTTGCGGGTTTTTCTACTTCTCGTCCACCTTCTCCTCCGTCCGCTCCCCTCCTCTGTCGGCGGCTGTGTCAACTCAGGTATTCCAGCAATGTGTCCCCGTCACAAAAGCAGGTTTCTTCTTTGATGGTTTTTATTTTGTTGGTCTTTGGTTTTGGTTTTGGTTTTAGATTTTGTCTTTATTTTAGTTCGAGTCGTTTTCCGTGGGGAAGGGGTGGGGTGCTGCTATTAATTCACCGGTTTACTTCACCTGATCTCTGGTTGTGCATTTCTGTCGCGTGTTTTTCTGGTTTTCCACGGTTTTTCTTGTGCGGCTGGGGTTTTTCTTTGACGCAGCTTGATTCCCAACTAGATATGATCTTCTCTGGCCCTGAGCGATCTCTGGTTCCGTGCCCGATGCTATGCTAATTCGATTAATGACTCCTGCTTTGGTATTTAACGATCAAGTTTTGCATTTAACACAGTTACAGATCGATTCTTTTTGGCACGTTACCCCTCAATCAACCTGTTCTTGTGGATAATATGGAATAAATGATTTGAGTGCAGACAGAATGGCAAAAATGATCGTGGCCTGGAACTTTCTTCGAAGAATTACCGATCGTAATTCCATCTAAAAATTCTGCTTAAACAGCCCAAAGAGTGATCATCGTAGCCTTGAAAATTCATGCCAAAAATGTTAATCTCGCGCTCTTTCGACGGATCTTTTCCAAAGAATTTGCAAATTCCCGCCTGTATCTATTTATCATATTTGGGTAGACTTACGGGCGGACGTCTCGTGATTCATGAGGTTTACTTTCCCACCATCCATTGACAGCCAGTGGCATGTGAAAATCTCCACAAATTGCAACGTTGATCAGCGTATGCACAATGGATGTACAGTGTACACTGTACACCATGTTCTACACATATTTCTACATTGTAGATATATTTTTTTTGTATTTTTCAAAGTTTGTTTTTGTGCTTGTTGTGTTTGGCTAACAATTTGCACACTTGGTTCGGCGCATTGTTTGTGTTTTATTATTTCTATTTAAGCTGGCAATCATCATAATTTTTTTCCAATTGTTAATTTATAATATTCTCAAGGTCTGAGAAAACCATTGACGCAGTAGACACTCGACAACAAAATGCAACGAAACGACTCATCGCAAACCCAATACGATAATTTATACAAAAACTTACTTTTTCGCTTCGTTTTGTTTGGGATAAACTTTCGAAAAAATAGAAGAATAAAATGGTATAAATTATACAAAAATATCTACGTTATTAAATGTCTAGCCCATTCCATTTAAAGCTCCCGCCGTGATAAATGAAAACGAAAGCCCCCAAAAAGTGCGCAGAGTCTTCTCCAGAGATCTTTCACACAAAAATATATAGGATTTTTCTGTTCCTTCTTTTTTTTTTTGCTGTTGATTGGTTGGACGGAGGGACCCGACCCAAACAAGATCCCAGCAGCAACCTCAAGAAACGCCTAAAAAGAGCGGCTGCTGCGAAGGGGCTGCTGCTGCTGCTGCTGCTGCCACAAAAACGAGTACAAAAGCCAAAGATATTTCAAAAGGCCAGCACAAAGAGCCACAAGCAGAAGAGACGAAACGCAAGGCAGGCGCGGGGCAGAGCCGAGCCAAAAAAAAAACAGGTTCTAGAATCAATTTTTATTTTCTCAAGCTCAGCCAACTAAAATACAAAAAAAACAACAAAAAAAGAGTTACAAAAAAAAAAGAATGAAGCAAAATCCCAGACGAAACAAGAAAGCAAGCGGAATTATTAAGCCCAAAAACCGAATTTTAAATACTCTCAAAAACTAAAGTTGAAAGTGGAAAACATATAAGTATTGAAATTAAAGATCATTTGGAAAGCAGAATAATTTTGAAAAAATTGTTGTAACCAGAAAATTCGGTAGTGCACAGAAAATAAATTCCATTTAGTAGACCCCATGTGAAAGTGTATCTTTATCTTCACTTCTTTGGGATGTGTATTCGCCGGCTGGAACGCACGAAAAATATTTGAGGCAGAGCTCCTCCACAGCATCCACGCAGAGAGAGAGAGAGAGAGAGAGCTCTAAGTGGCTCTCTCTCTGGCTCTGCAAACTCTTTGACTCTCTCACTCACTCTCTCTCTCTCTCTTGGGCGATCTTTATACACATACCTTCCTTTTATTATTATTTTCATTATTTTTTTTGTGCTGTTGGTGTCTCAAAATGTATCTGTATCTGTCGTCAGTGGCTGCTTCAGGGTGTGTGTGTGTGTGTTGAGGGCTTTTCTGTGTGTGTTTGACTAGAACTTTGTATGAGCAAAAAAGAACAGCAAAACAAGTTGCCTAACATGGCTTACAACAAGAAATTTGTCTTACAAAAATGTGCATGCCTCTTCTCCTTTTTGGGCATAATTTTACAAGTATTTGCTTATTAAAGTTTCTGATTGATTGCCGCCCAGAAGTACAACCAAAAAAGATATTCATTACGCGTGTATCCGTTATGCGAGAAGAACTGAAAACCTGAAACTCAGGAAAAATGATCTGTCTGTTTTGCCCCTCTGGGGCGTTGGGTTTCTCCTTTTTTCTTCTCATTAATGAAATGAAACGAGAAGGGTAATTACAAGATTCACTTTTTTGTATATACACAGACAGAGTTATGGTTTAGAGGCCTCTAGCTATACTTGTGTATTTACCATCAAATTTCTCACCCATCGTGCAGTAAAACATTTCCTTGTTTGGTTAAGCTCATTGGGGGGTTATTGTCATAAAATTGTGCAAACTATTCCCAATGTAAAGTGATATTTTATGCATTTAATACACGAGAAACCAACACAAATATTTACTTGGCCCGTTTGACATTGGTCGCTGGGGCTGGGGCTTAATAAATGCTTATGGCCAAGCATTCAAGTGTCTTCTTCATGCAGGTGTTGCTCTCAGCTTGAGCCCAGTGGCTGGAGGGGGTCAACGTCGGTTTTACATTCACATTTACAGCGGTTTTTGCCATTGTCATTGAATAATAGAAAAATGATAACCAAGCAAAGTGTTATTCGACTTTAAAATTACCCTGGGAAAGGGTTTTAAGTAAGAGACTATAGACCAAGAAAAAAGATAGTTAAACATGAACAATTAGTTGGTACTTACACTCGAATGCATTTACTTAAGATTGGGTTCTGTTCGAACGAGTTCCCTTGGCAGCTTTACCCACGTTCCGTGTTCGCTGTGACAATGCAAAGAATAAATAAATCCATAACCAGTTTCGCAGAGAGTTTTCCCAGCTGTAAAAAAAAGAGAGAGAAGACATTTGTTAACAATATTCCCAAGCGAGCCAGCGGGGGGCCACAACAACTGACAGTCACTCATGAGGCGCACACGCAACGCATCTGCCCCGAGATCTGGGAGGGAGGGCGTTGGGAAGGCTGCTGCTAATGAGTTTTCTCTCTGGACCAAGTGATTCATGAACAGAAACAGGGCTTGAAACTGTCACCACATCCGTCTCTCAGTGCGTCGCTGCGTCTGTCGCTAAACTTGCTAAATGAACCCCAAAAAAAAACTTCTTGGCTCTAATCATTTTGGCGTCATATACCAGCAAACAAAAAGAAACTGTATTACTTGCATAATTACACCCATGAATTCGGTGGAATGTCAGCGCTGAAGGTGCCCAGCAATTCTTAATTAAAATCAAAAAAAGATAAGATAAGCGATAGGAGAATCTATTTGGCGGGCAGGAAAATATAATATTTGATAAAGTCAAACACAGAAATTAAAATGTGTCTTATGTCGTTAAGATAATGTCAATGCCAATATATACAACGACTACTTTACGCCTACGAGTACCCTCTTGACTCTGCACTCGCACAATCCTCGATGATTGGATCTATCCAGATAGCTCTTCGGACTCTCTGTTGGTATAAAAATCTCAGTTGAACACTGAGCTGTCGTCAGCTTTTGCGTTTAATTTATTACGTAGACTTTTCCAATATTTCCTTAAACAAATAAATAACCTTTGAAAATTCTTTTGCTGTTGCCAGTTTTGTTTTTGCGACTGTGAATTATTATTATTGTATATTTTGGCTGGCTTTAAATGTGGCTCGTGATGCATCGTTTCGTGAAATGTGAAGGGCTTACATAATACTTATAAATGAATCGAGTTGTTGCGCGCCTTGCTGGGCATTGTCTCTCGCTATTTATGACAGCTAATTGCACACTTAGGCAACGGGAGGGGAATCCTCTCTCCAAAGCTTCATCTTAATTGCTGCTGCCATGATGTGATCATCATCAAGATGGATCGGATCATAATTTAAATGTTAAAATCACAGCAAAAGAATTACTTTCATAATTGTAGGCCCCTGTTTAGCGCTTCAAAACGCTGCTTGTGTGTTCAAACTTTCCATAAGCGAACGGACATCGGAGTAAACGGGAAGTAGCCCCAAAGACTCTCCACTATTGATTTCTAATCACACCACTTGGCAGGGCTATCTTTAATTATTTTCCATTTACTTTTGATGGCCCTCATCACGACTCAAGAATATCTTATTACAAATCAGTTCCCATGAAGTTCCCATATCTTTTATAGCCATATAACTTCCATGCCTCCTCCCACATCTGACTCATTCGCTTAATCATTTCTCACTTTATTCAGAATGTTTGCCTGGAGCTAAGGCCCAGCAAGAAGCTGCTAGAAAATGAATCTTTATCTCATTAATTTCGCTGTTTCCTTTATCATTTCCCCGGCTTATCACAAGACTTTGCATATTTGCACGGAAACTATAATTAAATACGGTGCGAAATTTCCAAATTAAATGAAATTTAATGAGAATTTACTTGGAAATATGCCGCATGGAGTAAAGTTCCCGTCACGTGAGATATTTATATAGGGATTTACCTGGGATTTTTGCTTTAACGCAGAAGAGTTGGGGGTGTAACAGTGGCTGTGGGAGGTAAGGGACACAATCAACAATCGAAATCATCTACCTGGAAGTGCCTAATGGCTAATTTGCTTTAATGATGAGAAACCGCTTAAGTCAACAAACAAGCTGCTGCTGCTGCTGCTGCTGCTGCTGCCACACAATGTCTCTCCTCTCTCTGTCTCTCCAGCCAAAAGTTAAAGGGGGAAGCAGGTGTAGTCACCATACAAATATTTATCTATGGTTGTGTGTGTGCGTACTTCATGCTTGATTGCCAATTTCAATTAAAGTTTGCTCCATTCTCGGAGAGCTCTCTGATACGCGGATGCTCGGAGAAACGGATAGAAACGGCAAAACGACAGATCAGCGAGGAGGTACAACGGGAAATCGCTGGACGGAACGAAGCGAACAAAAAAACCGAATTATAAATGTAACTAAAAATACTTACAATTCGAGCAGAAGGGCCACAATTGTAATGGGCAACAAAAAGTTACAAAAGAGTAAACCAATTTTAAAGAATACATTTTTTATTTATTTATTTGTATTTGATATTTTTTCTTAAAGAAAGAAATTCCTTAATACAAATTTGCCTTAATATCATTTTAAATGTCAAACAGATTGAATTCCTGCATTTGATTCCCCATTTAAGTGAATAAATTTACGTGCTCAAATTTGCCATTAAATTCGCAATGAAACGTTAAAATTATATAATTAAAAGTTGGGTAATCCTTTAATTAGTTTTCATATTATTTCTCTATTTATTCACGAACAGTACTATATACTGGCTTAGTCCATTCAGTTTCCATCCATCAATTTAACGATAAGTTTTGTTGATTTTCTGTGACGTTTTTTGTTGCGCCAAAAGCCACTTCCCGCTTCGCTACCAAATAGAAATCGAATCAACGGCAACAAAAAAAAACAAAAACAAAAACAAACTTTTCAGACATGCGACTGCGAATCTGTATAAACAATTATTATTATTGTATATTTTATTATTATTATTTCCCACTGACATTACCCATCCATTGAGAGAGTCTACAGGTAAACGCTCTCATTGTTGGATTCTGAATTGAATTTTTGTGTTCGCTCCATTGTTTACCTTTGCATTGGAATTATAAATCGCTTACAATGGAAGCTGTTCGAGTTGGAGTGGCGGGAAAGTCAAGGTCATATCCCCAAACACGAGCCTCATCTTGCTACCCCTCTCCATCCCTACCCAGTAAATGAAGTCGCGTACTCATCAAGAGGCTAATCTTACGGGTCTGCTCGCCAAAAGCGATGATTCAACTTTTGACAGAAACAAAAAACACACACAAAAACATAAATAAAAAGCAAACAAATGTTAAGGCAAAGGCGGAACAAAAATGACTTTGTAATTTGCAATGCCTGATTTTTTTCAATTTCATAAGTTCAGGGTCGCATCGATATCGTATCCGTTGAGTGGCTTTCAAAATGACGGGGTAATTAATAGTGCGAGCGAGCGGATATTTCAATTGTGGGAACAGAAAACCGACTGTGATATCTGTGTGGGGGAATTTGCATACACTCCGGCCCTTTCCTGTAAGGCAAATAAATGTCAAGCATCGTCTTGACAAATGTACTTATTTTTGTGTGCAAATTTTCGTGGCAAAATCACGCTTCCGATAAGCGGCTAAGTAGTGAGCGCATGCAGTTGGAATTTTCCAACTTGAGCACGGGCCATAAAGTTATTTGGTAAGCAGCCACAATTATGGCAGGCACTTGTCCCCCAGATATGCAGTGGAGGAGGAGGCGGAGTAGGAGGCCCCCAAAAAACTATTCCAATGCCATAAACCATACATAAACACGTACATACGATCCGAGTGAGGTATCGAGCAGACTGCTTTGGCCAGGGTCCTCAGGCTTTGTCCTCTGCCCCCATGTGGGTCAGCATATTGTCAATGTTACCACGGCGATAAGGCTACTCTGCTGAATGAATGAATGAAATATTTGTGTGTTATCATCGCTGATTGCCATAAAGATATGTCTCCATGCTCCGTACCCCACCGTTTAGGCAGAGTGCAGAACTGTTCTGTTTCATATTTGAGTTGAATTCCCAGAGCCGAGCAACGACAAAAAGCTCATTACGAAATCTTGCAGTTTATCAGCAAATGAGCAACTTCTACACACCAAATGGGGTCTAGAAGTTACCCTGTAAATAGTAATTACATTTAGTTGGTTGTGCGAACATATCTACCCCCAGTTAGCATCCGTTTATGGGGGGTAGGCAACCTTTGAAGAAAGCAAAACATTCCGCCAGAGAACTCATTTCGCTATCGCTCCGACAGTGAGGCGCAAGTAACAAGAGCCAGCGAACACATTTTAAACTCTTTCTCTCTTTCGCCCCCACAGCCATAATGTCGCCACAAACATCACCGAAGACACCGACACCGCCCACATTGCCGCCGGGCGTGACCAAGACCTGTCACATAGTGAAGCGACCCGATTTCGATGGCTATGGCTTCAATTTGCACTCGGAGAAGGTGAAGCCGGGACAGTTTATAGGCAAGGTGGACGCCAAGTCGCCGGCAGAGTCGGCTGGCCTCAAGGAGGGCGATCGCATACTGGAGGTGAACGGCGTGTCCATTGGCAGCGAGACACACAAGCAGGTGGTGGCACGCATCAAGGCGATTGCCAATGAGGTGCGCCTCCTGCTGATCGATGTGGATGGCAAGCCCATAGAGATGTCGCCGTCGCCGTCGCCGCCTTCGCCAGCAGCCCTTTCCAATTGCAGTGAACCAACGAATGGCAATGGCAATGGCACTCCCAGTGTGAATGGGAATGAGAATGGCAATGGGTATGAGGGCACCAAACAGGAGATGCCCGGCGCCAGCGCCAACATTAGCAGCATCAGCATGGTGAGCATGAAGCGATCCTCGAATGCGAGCAGCATCCAGAGCGGCAGCACCATGAATGCCAGCGATCTGGATGTGGTGGACCGAGGCATACCGCCGCCGGTGGCTGCTGTTGTTGTCGCTTCGCCCCAGCATAATGGCAGCAAACCGTCCTCGCCGTCGCCGATTAACAACAACACATTGACGAGCACGCCGCCGCCGCCACCTTCCGCCACGGTGGCCACCATGAACAGCAATGGCAATGTGTACAGCAGCTCCAATGGCAACACAAATGGCACGTCCTCGCCCACAGCCGCAGCTGCAGTCGCGGCCACACCCACAGCAACCACAACAACAGCAGCTCCTATGTCAGCGTCAGGAAACCGGGCGGGCAGCCTGAACCTGCCACTGACGGTGGCCGAGATGCGGGCCAAGCTTGCCTCCAAGAAGAAGTACGATCCCAAGAACGAGAGCGTCGACCTCAAGAAGAAGTTCGAGATCATCCAGAAGCTCTGAGCGGACACCCAAACCGTCCCACAAAAAGGCACCCGTACTTGTTATAAATTTACACGAAGCAAAAACACAAACCGATAGCAAAGGTTAACCCGAAATCCATGTAGTACGTCGGCAGAGCTGAGCATAAATAATGTTTAACTATTTAGTACGAGTCACTTATGAACTAAGCAAGTTTTTTAATTATTATCCATTAAGCAAAGGACGCGAATAGGAAGGCGCACAGAGAAGCAAACGAAAGAATTATGTAAACTAATATATATAGAAATCTTTGCGAAGACAACTCTCAAATTGGAGTTTGGTTGTCGCTTTTGTAGTTCTTCCATTGAACAACTTTCCCGTTGAATATGTATTTAGTTTTGCGCATATTTTTCCACAGTAAATAAAGCAAAATTATAAATAAAAACCAATACAAACGGGGGCAACTGTTTAGGAAATGTTTCAGCTGTTTAAACAAGTTCTTTGAAACTCTACAACTTGGAGTTACTCGAGCAGTACGAGTAGATTTTAATACAAGTTTAATTCCCCCACTAGATGGCCTTAAAACAGGCCAACAAATGACTCCTATAAACCTATTAAACCTACGAGGAGAGCTCCTTTCGCTTTAGATTGCAGAGCGCAGCGGCCACAACTAGCATCTCGTTGAGGTAGCCGAGCATTGACTTTTGTTGTATGGAGCTGTGGTGCAGCATTTTGAACTCTCGCAGCGTGTCGATTGTGTCGCGCATTTGGTCACGGCAGGACGGCTCCTGCAGACGCAGCGTTGGCAGCTGCACGGACGTGGCACGCTTCGAGATCAGTGCTCCGTCCACAACGGACAGGGATTCCTGGCTGGCCAACTGTCCGGTCAGGCGCTGAGCATCGTATTTGCTGACTGGTGGCTTCAGCTCGTCCAGTGATGCGGAGTCATCATCCTCGATGGCATCGTAAATGGAATCGGAGGCTGACTGCCGGCAGCGGGGCACTGCCTTGCCGGGATCCGCACACAGCGTGAGGTAGTCGGGTACGATATTCCTGAAGTTGCTGGCCTCGAACAGCTGCAGGTCATCGTACTGGCCAGGATATGCGCTCGAGACGTAGCTGATGATGCCTGAGGGTACAGCAGAAGCTCAAATGAGTTATTGGGAACCATTTTGGATGGAATTTCAGCACCGTTCGTGTTGATGCAGAGTATGAACTTGTAGGTGGGGCAACTGAAGTCCAACGCCTCACTCACGTCCGTCTCCACGCACTCGATCATGGACCGCAGATGCATGAGATCGGACCGGTAGTCCAGCGGCGTGTGCTTCAGCCTGTCGAGGAAGTGATTGGCGTCCGGCCAGCAGATTAGTGGCCTCAGGCAGCGTGCCAGCTTTATGATGCTCCGCTTGAACGTTTCCTCTGCATCGGATTCGCTCAGCTCAAAGCATTCGGCCAGCTGGGCAAAGGACTCGTTCTGCCGCAGTTTCCGCAGCGTTATGCAGCAGTCCAGGTGCGTGACGGCTGCACTGCGGCATATGTGGCGCTTCAGTATCGACAGATGCTCGCTGGCCAGTCCCAGGTACTGCATCGAGGCGTTCTCCATCTGGCGCATGGTTATGGAGCGCATACTCCGCTGTTGTGGCACTTCGCGCTTGACGAACACTGCCTGATGCACGGCGGACGAGATGCGGGAAGCGGGTGTCACAGCAGGCGTAGACGGGTTGTGCAGCAGACTCGACAGCGTGCTCCTGCTGGTGGCTGGGTTAGCTGTTGCACTTGGTGTCGCTGCGGCCCTCTTGATGATCGTGTTGGGCGGCAGCGAGCTGATGGCGATGCCCAGGGATTGGCTCGATCCACACTCCCTTTTGATGGCTGTCGCAGGCTGACCAGTCGAAATCACATACTTGGGATTCTTCAGCGGAGCTGTCGATTTGTACGTTGCGATTAATAGTTAGTCCCACGTCTGAGGCTATCACTTACTTGCTCCCAAGGCTGATGGTGTTGTCGCCCTCTTCATTGCGGGCTTGATCAGCGCTGGTATTTTGTTGAGTATGATTCCAGCGGAGTTGGCGCTGACCATGCCATTACCCGCTTCCAGCTTCACGAATTGTTTCTGCATTGAATATTCACCGAGTTTCGAAATTAATTTTACATTTCTGTTGTGCTCTTTGCTTCTTCACACGTTTCCACATCAGCTGTTAATGCATACGGTATTATACTACCAATTTATACATTTTATACCACCCATACCACAGCGCAGTCTGGCAGCGTTGCGTGTCAACAAAAAAAGTTTGTTTGTTTTCAATTTGTTGTTACCTTCATAATCTGCATTGTGTCCAGGTTTTTCGTGCGATAAACCAATGTCGGCTGTATAGGCACCAGTCCAGTCGCCGATTTGCGGCATTTCATAATTGTTAACGACATTAATTTGATTTTTATTTAATATTTTCTGAGTGGGGGGTGCCACCAGTGGGACCGCGGAATTATCGATCAACTATACCAACACACCCACGGAAATATACCGAAATGTACTCTTTCATTTTCAAGATATACCGCAATCATACCGTAAATCTTAAATCATTTTTCTCGACTTTGCTCTTCTGTTTAAAATTACCAGCAAGTTAGGACTCTCAGCTTTCAAAATGTAATTTTACTCGAATTATCATTAAATTCCCCACAAGATTGGCTTGTTTTCCGACCCTGCTTCTGTTGATTTGCTTACGCAATAAGCTTTAAACTAAAAAGGTCTACTTAACATACTTGTTGCTCTGCAACTATCGATTGTCAATTATCGACACTGGCCGCAGTGCTGGTAAGTGCGCAATGGGCCGCACGTTGGCGGGCAGTTTGTTTTGTTTTGGTTTGGGACTGGCTCACTTCATTTTCAACCTTCGACGTGCTCGGCCACCGCTGGCAACCGCTGAACTTGTGTCAAAACGTCTTTCTTCGTGCCGTTTCATTTCGGAAGTAGTGAAATCGGTTAGTGGTTCATATTATATACGCTTCTGACGTTTTTTTTTGGGGTCTATGCTTTCGGCTTCCGGTGATCAGTGACGATTATTGTTGCCGCTGCTGTAGCTGTAGCCTTCGGCCAAAACTCTGCTGTGACCGTGAATATTTCACACATATCACACCCCGTTTACCGCCCCGCGGTCGAAAACGCGTAACGCATAAATAATCAAGTAATTTCCATGCAATTCAGCGCGGAGAATCTCTGTCTCTGTGTCGGTGTGTGTCCCAACCTGTGTCGGAATGGAACAGTGTTTTCCCTTTAAAAAAAAAACAATAATAATCTTGCCCAACGCAAAGCAGCAAGCAGAAACCCATTATCAGCTCCAATTGCGCATCCATCCGACAATCAGAGATAAACAAATATCCGTATCAATGCGATCCACTTTCAGCGATAAGTAAGCCGCAGAAATAGGAGGAGGAGCACTGGGTGGAGGTGTGGCACTGTGTGGTTCACTCATTTATTTATTAGCCTAATTGTTGCCTGCTTGAACGCCGGTTGAACGCACTTCCACAAAAGAGCTCAGCGAGGGTCATGGCAGCGCGGCTTTTCAGTCAAATTAAATTTTGTTTGTTGTTTCTTGTTGTGTGTGTGTGTGTGTGGGGGGGGGATAATCAACGTAAGCCGCAGCCTCCACCCACAACACAGCTGGAAAGAGCTGGCAATAGGCGCGGCAATCGACTTTTGCCATAAGTGATTTCAGTTTTTAGTTGTGGGGGAATAAGTCAGCGTCAAAGGAGTCCAAGAAAGGCAGCTAAGACTCAGAAATTGTTGCGAAATAGTTCATAAAAACTGATTAACTGTTTGCTTTGCTAAACCCAATGCCAAAGTCAAGAACTTTGAGTGTTTAGTTAGGGTTGTAGGCCATGTGATTAATGTGGCTCAATTGTGCGCAAACAGGCTGGAACATTGCAATTAACTGGCAACACACACCCCCCGCCTGCACCCCGCTGTCTATTTGTAGTTGCACCGCCCGCAGGGCCCTCTTCACGTTCGATTTGAATGACGCAGATCGGTTAACTGTGCAAAAGTGCAAAGCCAACAACTAATGATCTGAACAATGTTTGCCACCTGTCTGTAGCTGTAGCTGTATCTGTAGCTGTGTCCATGTATCTGTATCTGAGTATTTGTCATGCCTGTCGCGGTGTAAATTACAAATTGCCAACGCCAGCAGCTCCAAACAGAAGCGCTGCTGTAGCCACTAATTTACCCATTTTCATTTTAATATATTTTTTGTTTTGTTTTCTCTCTTTTGCTGACCACAGAATTTAATTGGCTTCATTTAAGATATATTATAATGTTATGTGACACTTTGTGGATATGCACTCCTCTCGCTCTCTTCGTCGTCTCCGATTTGATTAACCAATCAGCAAGCGAAAGTCAAATTGCTGGCACGCCGAATTGGAGCAAAATGGGGCTGGGGGAGAGGGGAGAGGGGGTGGTGTGTGTGCACACCCGCTGCGCCTGCGTAACTGCTGTCAAACTGTTGTACACAATAACACAAATGTTAACAGGCTCAAAATGCTCAGAGTTGCCTCTGCAGAGAGCAGCAGCGCCGCAGCGAGCAAATGAGACAAAAAACAAGTCGAACAACCAATAAAATGAGCAACAACAGCAACAAAATATCAATCAATGAAATGTGTAACTAACAAACAACAAAAACTTAAACTTTAGGCAGCGTTCGGGCCAATCGTCAGTCGTCGGCAGTCACTTGACACTTTTGGTTAATAAAACTTGCTAATGAGTTTTGCGTTTTTTTGTGACTGCACAGCCAATGGGAGGACAGGAGATTGGAGCATGGAGCAGAAGCTAGTTAGAACAGGATAAGCGCAGAGATTCCAATTTGAGCAGCCAAAAGAGCTTGAAGCAGGAGGAACTGCCGCTTCCAGCTTTACAGCTTCTCAATCGATCTCTCTGGCTGCTTAATGATCAGCTAAGCATGGGCTTTGTGCTTAATTGTCAGCCTTTTGGTGGGTTGTTTGCTCGGTCCATTCATAGAACCGACATAGTCGCCTGCCTGCCTGCCTGCCTGGCATAGCTCTTGTCCATTGTAAATCGACTAAAATGAAGTGCGCTCATAAATATTTATTAGCCATTGCTAAATTGGGCACTAAGTAGTCGATAATTTAAGCAGACCACAGAGCAGAGACCAGTCCAGAGACTCGACATGAAAACAGCCTCAACATTTGGCCGATTTGGTGGGCTGGTGAATGAAAAGTGCAAATTGTCGGCTTACCCAAGAGCCAAGACAGAGCTGCAGTCGAGGTTGGAGTGGAGCGGAGTGCAGTTTGGAGACTCTAAACACAAAACACGAACTTAAGCGCCAGTTGGGGACGACATTAATTTATGGGCGCCAAACATTTTGCCTGCCATTTAAGCGACAAAGACAAAGTAGCCTGCCTGCTGCCTGCTGGCTGGCTGCATCTCAGCGATGTTGCTTACTCGGCCAGGAACGTGTCGGGATTATTAATTAGCCCCAAGCCAAGCCAAGCCAAGCCAAGCCAGAGAAGACAGCGAAACCTGAGCACCTTGTTGATCTGTGGGAATATTTTGTGCTTTGGGCAGGCCAAGAAGGAAGCAGAGACCAGCCCTAGGATTCATCCATTTGTTTGACAAACTTCTAGAGTGTTTCCCTGCCCAGATTGTGCTACACCCCGGAGAATAATTAGTGGAGCGGTTTGGCGCCCCCCCACATAGCATTTGCCGATGACAATCGGACAAACGCTGCTAATTGGCTGCGATTTTCCTGCCCATTAAGCGTAAACTGTCTGGCTGCCTCGCGATGGATTAACATACGAAAATGACTACAAATTGCACCAAATAACAAAGCCAAAAAACACAATGCCAGGCCAAAATCAAACCAGCAGAGTGTGCGGGTTTCATGAACTGCACTCGAAGCGTGAAAACGTGATACAATTTGAGTGTTCGTTTCGAGCTGTAAGCGCTAAGCGATAAGTCGGGTCCGGTCTGGCCTGGCCTGGTCTCTGGCCATAATCTGCGCCCAGAGATCACAATTTGCGAATTGCGCGCGCAGTTTGGAAATCAGTCAGTCAGTCAGACACTCGGCAGTTGCTTGGCTCCCAGAAATAGTAACAGTCTACGGCTTTAGTTTGTTTTATTTGTATTCCACGCGGCTGTCCAATTACAAGCGACATGAACATAAATAAGATTTTATTAAGTGCTAATTTCTGTTTGCTGTTTAATGCTCAAAATGGTCAAAACAACGCCGAGCTGGCAGTTGGAAATACGGCAAAAATCCACCCAAAGGTGTGAGACTTAGAGCAGGATTTCCCCCCTGCACATCTTCTATCTGCCAAACTTGTACAATGCCACCAGGGCGACGGCCAAGAGAAGCACCACAAATGCCACACTGCCCCAGAGTGCCAGCGATTTGGAGACGCCTAGGAGCTGCCTCACGGCTGGCACTTGCTCCTCCACCACGCCAGGCATAATCACACGGAAGGACAGTTGGTTTAGTTCTGAAACCTCTGTGCCATTGCCTGCCGCCGCTGTCGTGTCGGCATTGCGTCTACGACGCTGTGCCACCGAAGGCAGACAATCCTGTGCCGTCATTTGGCAATCCTCGCGCTCCAGACAGCCGCTGAGGCGCATGGATATGACGAGGACATCGCCACTGCGCATGCCCGGAAACATTACCGCCTTGAAGTGGAAACGCTGACCCAGCGGCGGCTCCACGATGGGCGAATGACTGCAGATGGCCTGCATGGCAGGGTTCAGGCAGCCCCGCGAGCTGATCAACTGGACCGTGTTGAGGACTTCCCCGCCAGCAGCGATCCGCTGCAGCTGCACATCACTCAGCTTGGTGTAGTTCCAGCCTGAGAGACAGAGAACTTATCATGCCAGGTTCCTTTTTCCTGCATCTTCCACTCACCATCGCCTGCCAGGACATGGGCACGCAGCAGCAGCTCCTCGCCCAGCTGCACCGCTCCGTTGGTCTCCAGGTGGCGCGTGTAGCCATTGCTGCCACGTCGCAGCAGCTCCACGTGGGTGCGAAAGGCATTCTGACTGCCGCCATGCGCATAGTTGCCCACGCTGCGGGACTGGCTGCAAAGGGAGGAAGGAGAAGCAGCCGATTAGCATCAATCAACGGCCAGGGCAGAGCCTTCGATCTACCCACACATCATTGGCCACGCCCATTTTGAGGGCATGCGTCTTGACGGCCACTCGCTCCTGGGACTTGCAGCGCAGCGTCAGAATGGAGTCGCCGCCGGTGCGCAGTCCCCTGATGGCGGGGAATCGCAGACGCAGGCACAGATCCTGGCCGCAGGAGCGCACGCCGCAGCGCTCAAAGTCCGCGCCGTCAATGTCCAGCAGCAGGAAGCTGCGCGCCAGCTTCAGTTCGCAGCGCTTGTCCTGCACATCGTCGCTGTCGTGATCCACCGTGGGTGCGGCCCCCAGGAAGCTGTCCAGCTTCAGCACCGCCCGAAAGAAGCCCGACGGCAGGCAGCGCATGTCCTTGAGGCGCAGGCGCAGCTCCCCGACGCTCTCGCTGGGCGGCAGATAAACCGGAGCGGGTGTGGAGGGTGCATGATAATCGTAGCCGGGCGAGTGTATGGTCTCAGTGTCCTCACCCGGATCCTGCACGACAATGGGCTGCGGGGAGGTTGTCACAGGACTGGCAGGCGGTGGGGGATAGTAGTAGGCGGGGTAGGACTCCTCGCCGGGCTTGGGGCTCTCATAGCTGGGTCGCTGCTCAATGGCAGGCGGCAGGTAGTGCTGGTAGTGCTGGCTCAGGGGAATGAAGTTCTGTTGTGCCTTGGCCTTGACACTTCGATTCTCAATGATCTCCGGCAGACTGAACTCCGTGGGTGCTGGCGTGACGGGAGAGCCATAAAAGGCAGAGGGATTCAGCCCGAGCTGGAATGGCGATCCCAAATCCGTGGGCGATGAAGCGAAAAGGTGCGACACATCCGCCCGGCTGCCACGCAGGAGCAACACGAGGAGCAGGCTCACAATTGGCTGCTTCCCGCTGGTTGACATTCTGATTGAACACTGACTGAACGGGCACCGGGGGAAAGTGACTTTATAAGCAAGAATTTGACCCGAATTGCGTATGGAAACCAAAGCATTCGTCACTTTCCAGCCGGCCAAGGCACGACTTTGATGTTTGATGTTTCTTTTTTCGGGCTGACTTTCCTTGGTCACGATTGATTGGGGGCGGGGGGTATTGGGTGAGGTTATGTACAGCTAATTGTCAAGTACTCCCCAGACGATAGAGACAACGCATCCTCTGGTCATCCGTTGTGCCACAAATCATTTGGCCATTTGACATCTCGCTTGCGTTGAACTAATGACAACAACGGCAGCAGCAGATACAGCGGAAAAAAGCGTCAGCTGGCAGGCAACAAACATCATAGCCGACACAGGTTGCCGCATAGCAACATTTTGGCCATATTGCGGAGCCAATCAAACTTAACGAGCCGACAATCTGTCCGATATGTGCCCGAAATGGAGTCTGGCTCTGGCCATCAATGAGCGTCATAATCGCATGAAAAGGCCACGAACTGGCTGTAATTTTCGAGCAGCTTTAACGTGTGGCAAGGTGCTTTCAATGCTGTCCCTTTACTTGTGCTCTGACAATTATGAATCAAGTTTTTGCTGCGATACGATCGATCGATCGATCGATCGCTGCATCTCCCCCAGGGGTAGCCACGGAGATATTTGCCAAATGGAATGCAATTAATTGAATTTACAAGAGCGACAACACATCGTGGGGTAGCTATCATTAAGGCAGACCAAAATAAGACACAGACCAGAGCCTCTGTCAGTTAGTTTTGCTGCTCGAATTTGATTTACGATTGCGTTGCCTTTTCCCTCTAGGATCTGATCTCTCTGCTCACATTTCTGTCTAAAACAATGCCCGGCAGCCACGATAATTTCAGCCACGGTTTCCCCATGGCCAGCACCCAAAGCGAACGACTGCTGCAGGCACAGAATCGGCGCAAGTTCAGCTTTCCGGCCACGCTCCATTCCGCCTCGCTGCTGGAGGTGGGACAGCGCGAGACGACCAGGAGGCGCCTCAGCAATGTCAGCGATGTTGTCACACGCAAATTGTCCTACACCATTGGCTGGAAGGCGGCACAAATACCCGCACAGGACATCATCACACAGGTGGGTGCAAGAGTTGAGATTTGAGTTGATTTTTAGAGCCTCTAATCCTTGTGTGCTCTCCAGGGTCGCTGTTTGTGCGGACACTACATCAAGCGAAGGCTGAGACGCTCGGGTTTGTTCAACAAAAAGTTGGGCCTGCAGCGCATACGCAGCATTCTCGGCTCCACCTCCATGGGCATTGTGCGCGATGTCTTTCCAGCGGTTCAAGTGGTGCGTAATCCCCGCCAGCCTCTATGCCACTGCTACACATTCTCCTTGCAGCTTGGCGATGAACTGGAGCGCATGCATCCGCGTGCCTACAACGGCGTCGCTCGACAGATTTGTCGCAATCCCGGCGGCGAGTTCCACACACCCGATGCTGTCAGCCTGCTGCTCGGGGCGGTGGGTCGCGAATTGTTCCGTGCGGACATCACCTGGAGCAAGGTCATTTCGCTGTTTGCCATTGCCGGCGGCCTGTCCGTGGACTGTGTGCGCCAGGGGCATCCCGAGTATCTGCCCAAGCTGATGGAGAGCGTCTCGGAGGTGATTGAGGATGAGCTGGTGCCCTGGATCAATGAGAACGGTGGCTGGGTAGGGCTTCTTGCTTCACAAACATTCATTGCAGCTTCAAGTTTAATGTGTTTGCCTTTGCAGAGCGGCATTAATACCCACGTGCTGCCCACAACCAACAGTTTGAATCCGCTCGAGTGGACGACGCTGGTGATAGGCGTGGTTTTTGGCCTCATTCTGCTTTTTATGTTCTTGCGTTTCATAGTGAGCACAATAATACCCAAAATATATCAACGATTTACGAACTGATTTACGAAGTGCTACTGCCGTTTGAATTTGCGCGCCAAGAGTGTGCAGCACTGCTTCACCGTTCTGTTAACTGTGCAGCTCTGTTACTGTTAAGCAGTGCTTTTTGGCTCTGTTAAGTTTGTAGCTTGAGAATTTGTGTGATAATCGCGCGATCTTCCTATCTTTCCTCTCTCTACAGCCATTTTAAATATAAACAGAACAGCAGAGATTCATTAGGCTTCAGGAAATATCTAGCCAATACTCAGAATATCTGCCAGACTGTTGCAAAATCCATCAGAGCTGATAACACCAAAATTCGATTATAATCCACTTGATACAATTGTGGACACAAAGATACATGGTATATAGACGGTTTATTATTATTATACAAATGGCGAGAGAGGGAAGACGGAAAGGTAGCTTCTGCGGACTAACATTAAAATTCAATAAATGCAACAAACTTCTCAATTCTTGATCATAGAATCTGATCTGATATTATTATGCCACAGCACGGCTCCACGTGGCTCCGCTTACAACTTGCCGGTTAGCTCGGGCACGGCCTTGAACAGATCCGCCACGATGCCGATGTCGGCCACCTGGAAAATGGGCGCCTCCGGGTCCTTGTTGATGGCCACAATCGTCTTTGAATCCTTCATGCCGGCCAAATGTTGAATGGCGCCCGAAATGCCAACGGCAATGTATAGATCTGGGGCCACGATTTTGCCCGTTTGTCCAATCTGCAGATCGTTGGGCACGAAGCCGGCATCGACGGCGGCACGGGAGGCGCCGACAGCAGCGCCAAACTTATCGGCCAGATCGTAGAGCAGCTTGAAGTTATCGCCAGACTTGAGGCCACGTCCACCGGAGATGATGACCTTGGCGCCCGTCAGCTCGGGACGGTCGGATTTGGTCAGCTCTTGGCTGACGAATTCGGACAAGCTGCTGGCATAGTCGCCGGCTGCGGCCTGCTCGATGGTGCCGCTGCCTCCACTGGTGGCCGCTGGCTGGAAGTTGGTGCCACGCACAGTGATCACCTTGACGGCGTCCTTCGACTTGAGGGTGAGGATCGCATTGCCCGCGTAGATGGTGCGCACAAACGTGTCCTCGGACTTGATGTCAATCACCTCCGAAATGGGCGACACATCCAGCTTGGCTGCCACACGGGGCAGCACGTTCTTGCCAAATGCCGATGCTCCAGCCAGGATGTGGGTGTACTTGAACTGCGCCTGGGCGGCCACAATCAGTGGCGTCAGCGACTCGGAGGTGAATCCCTTAAACGCGGCATTCTCAGCTACCAGAATCTTGGTGACGCCCTCCACCTTGGACAGAGCTTCGGAGGCCTGCAAATGATTCGATGTTTGTTCGTGTGATTATGCAAAAGCATCGAGAGAGCAGCAACAAAAGCAACAACATACGGGTCCGCATTTGGTGCCTGCCACAAGAACCGTCACGTCACCGCCGATTTTCTTGGCCGCCGAAATTGTGTTCAGTGTGATGGGATTCAGTGCCTCATTGTTGTGCTCCGCCACCACCAAGGTGCTCTTGCAGCGCTGCAGCTGCAAAAATATTCAATTATTTAATCATTTTCATCCAGCAGCGCCTGCGCCAGCGGCCATTTCAGGGTCTTACAAAGCTGCTGCGCATTAGGTTACGCGTGTTGCTGGCAAACATGGTAAAAGGTTGTGCTGGGTAAACGAGCTGCGGGATGTTCCGATGAAACACTTTTATTTAGTTGCTACAATTAATTGTTAATTAAACAAAGTCCAAAGGTTTCTCAGCTGTGTGACCGCGAAATTATCGATAAACTTCAGAAATGTACCGAAATATACTTTTTCATTTTCAAAATATACCGTAAATGTACGGTACATCTTGAATAATTTTCTTTGATTTTAATGTTCCGTTTAAAATTACTGTATAGTATGGATTCTCGGCGCTAAATCTATAATTTTATTATATTTATCAATCTATTTTCCACAAGTTTTGATAGTTTTCACGACTTCTGCTTGTTGGAATTAAGTTTAAAACGGAAAAGGTTTACCAACAAAATTAGCATAAACGTTACGTGAGTGGGAATGGATAGCTACGTTTTGACAGCGCACCTCTCACAACAGCTGATTTCTGACTGTCTGGCAGCGCCGTAATTTGTACATTTCGTTTCGTCACATTCATTTTTAACAAAATTAACAAAAAATCAAAGTTTAAGCCTTAGCTGAATTGTTAATAAACATTATCCAATGGGCAAAGGCGTACCAGATAGGTGGGTACACTTGAATTGGCACTTAACTCGCTATATTCGAACTAATTTGCGTTTGTTTTTTTCCGGCGTGCGATGCGCGCTTGCAGATGGCTTAATTACAGTGCCATAGGAAAGCGTGTACCCGGTACGCGATTCATAGCATTCAAGGTGCCGCTGAATCAGGTGGGTTAGCTTTCCCCTTGCAGCCAAACCGGTTGGCAGGAGAGGAGCGAGCGATTGATGGATGCTGAAAAGGGCCCACCAGGACCAGGGGACCACCAAGCGAGCGCCAGCCAGAGCCTCTAAAAATAAATAACAACAGACAAAAATTTGTGCATCGTAATTATGCATAAAAGTGGCAACTGGAACATGTTGCTCTGCACTCGAGTGGCCGAGTACTACCTACCGACCCCACATGAATATTAAATTAAATTGTTTTTGCTTAATTAAATAACGCCACAGAGAACGCGGGACCTCCTGCTTATTAATTGCCTTGCCCCGAGGCCAGTCGCATAAATTGAGCAATTTTTCGCATGTTATATGACTCTTCCCCCTTGTATTTGCCCTTGCAGAATCTCAATACACGTGTGGACGAGGAGCTGCGACTGGGGCCCGAATCGGTGCTGGAGTCGGTGCCCAATCTGGGCATGATCATCGATCTGACCAACACAAACCGCTACTATCGCCCGCAGTCCTTCACGGAGAACGATGTGCTGCACCAGAAGCTGATGATACCCGGAAAGAAGACGCCGTCAACGGCATTGGCACAAAAGTAATTACAATAAATTGAACGTTTTAATCATTTGGCTGACTCCCAGGAACTTTTGGCCATTGCAGATTCTGTCACTATGTGAAAGACTTCCTCGCGGTGAATGTGGACAATGGTGAGTGGGTGCGAAAGAGTCGGCGGCCGTGGGAACGCTTTCACGTCAACAATTCCAGATGCATATCTGTAGACACAATTAGACCCGCAAAATATATGAACAAATCATATCAAAAGCGACTTGCCGTCGTCGCACATGCAATTACCACGTATCCCCAGGCCCAGGCGCAGGCCTAGGCTGCACTGCCTCCAGAGATTCCTATCAGTCAGCAAGCGTAGAGCAAACACAGCAGAGCCAAGTGGCTCTGGCCAGAAGGAGAGAAAATCTATTTAACCTTTTAGCGCACACCAATGTGGGCGCGCACACACTCAATCAGTCAGTCAGGCAGTGAGGCAGTCAGGCAGCCAGGCAGTCTGTCGGGAGCTATGAGCTGGGAGCTGGGAGCCCGAGCAAACAAATCACTTATGCTGGAGCTCAGTCATGCCTCTGCACACAAAAGGGAAAAGGCATTTCTAATTATACACAAAAGGCAGGCACACAAAACCGCATTTCATTTAAATTTTCATAACTAAAGAAATGCCAAGGCGAGGACAGACAGGACAGACCTGCCCAGGCATGCCAGTCTGCTGTTATGTTATACATTTCGTACCCTCTAGGGTATTGTAGCTGAAGTTCCTCTTGTCGATCGTTGCAGCTGGGGGCGTGCGCACAACCCTTGATCTGGCGCTAATGTATGTGCGAACAGCCTCGTTGCTCGTTGCAAATATGCAGAAATCTTAACCAGAATGCATTAAACGTGGCTCCAGAGCCCTGTGGCATAATTAAAACCCGATCTGGCGCCGCTGTGCAACCAAAATAAAACAATAAATAAATACGCGAAGACTGCCAACGAACAAATCAGAGGGAAATAAGTCAAATTCAAGGTGGTCGCGACTTGTCAACGGCCAGAGCCAGTGCCAGCAGAAGAACGGGCCATCTGCAGTTTGATTTCTGATTTACAGTGGAATAAACGTCTTAGCTTTAACTAAGACTCGCAGGCAGCTGCCTTTTGTGAGCTTTTGGCTCCACTGTATTGTCTCTGTCTTCTGCTTGGTCTCGTTCCCATTCCCATTCCCATTCCCATTTCCAATACCCATTCTCGTTGTCGTAACTTTATTTTGTCTGTAAGTTGGCTTAAATGCAAGCCAAACATGACGTACTCCTGGCAGTGATCGCCGCCCTGATGGCACCGCACCCGCATAGTGCACCGCGCTCGCGACCTGGTGGCTTGTGTCTGCCTCCTACCTCCCGGCCGTGTCCTCCCGCTGACATGTTTTTGTGAAATTTATTGCCAATGTTATTATTGGCAGAGCGGGCGGGCGCGCTGTTTTCTAGACTTAGCTCAGGTCGGTCGCTTCTGCTTTTATGCCAAATTGGCAGGCCGGTTTTCTCCTGACTGTTTTGCGTGGGTGTGGAGCAGAGCACAGAGCAGCTCAGTGCGCATTCCTGTGGCCGTGTTCACTTTTGAAATTTGTAGCAATTTGCGACAACATGCGGTTGATGCGGGGCTGCCTCTTGGCACTACTAAAACATTCGAATGCTTTCTCTATCCTTCTTTGCAGATAAACTGATTGGAGTCCACTGTACACATGGCGTGAATCGGACTGGATACTTGATCTGCTACTTCATGATAACCATGCTGAACAGGTCACCTATGGAGGCCATCGAGAGTGCGTCCAGTCAGCAAATACTGTCACAGAATAGCAAGTGGTAATGCTTCCTCCCAATTGCAGGCGTTGCTGCGGCACGGGGCCACAAGATTGAGCGCGAGAACTACTTGAGCTCGCTGCGCCGGCTGGCCAAGTCCAGCGAGGAGCCCAGCCAGGACACAGGCTATACGAGTCACTACAACAAGCGGCACAACTGGAACGAGCAGGCAGACGGACCACAGCAGCATTATCAGCAGCATTATTATGATCAGCATCAGCCGGAGGGACGCTATCAGCAAAGATACAACCAGCGTGAGTAGAGCAATAGAACAATAGCAGTAGGTGAGATCATCCATTGGCTGACTGCCATTACAGGAGCCCATGACAGTAGCCATGACGATGTGCGACAGAGCAGGTGGCAAAGTAACAGCGTTGGCTACCGCTACCATAGAGGAGGTCGCCCACAGCAGGCGGAACGCTTTCGGTGGAGCAACATTGAATGGAAGCGGCAGCAGCGGGGTCGTCAGCAATATCAACAGCCAGAGCAGCGCACAAGCGGAACATATCATGGAGATTTTCGCAACAGGAATTCGGACTGGCGAAGCACCCGAAATGACAATGGCAATGGCGATGATCCTGAATGGAACAAGCCGCATTGGAATGGCGCCCAACACAGTAACAGCTGGCGCCAGAGCCATTACCAGGCGAGAAACGGTAACGATTCCAACAGCAGAAACTTTAATGACTGATCCCTCAATACACTTTCAATCCACCGGACCACCAGCGTCAAAACAGCAACCAGCGCAACACATAAGCTACCGTGTAAGGAACAATTAAAATTCATTTGCAACATGGATAGAGAGAGAGAGGGAGAGGGAGGGCAGGCAGGCTACAGGCCATAATGGTAGTTAACAAGCAGTCGGCACAGATCGTGTGAAGATACAATACAAAACGCTGGCAACAAAATTTGCATTTGGCTGCGGGGCACAGTCCGCGCGTGAAATTCCTGGAAATTAGTGACCAGCGCTGCTCCTGTGTCAAAGCAAATGTCAAGATCATACAAAAACAGTGGAACAAACCCATCCACACACCCTTAAAATCCGAGTAATCCCTGCAGCATATTCGTAAACAAAATATTTGATTGATTTTAGCGTTTAATATTAGAAATGATAGCAAGTGAAGTGTAAAGTTTGAGAGTTTTGTTCATTGAATTAAGCCCCATTAGTACAACATTTTGATGTCTTGAGAACTGTGCGAGTTCCATGGTGCACGGCTTGGGGGCACAAACGAGTACCTGTCACATTGACGGCTCCTGATCGTTTCATTATTTCGCCATGGTGGTCAAATGTCAACTTATTAGCATAAATGTGGCTGCCGCTGCTGCAGCCCCTCGGGTACCGGCCGACAATCCTTATCGGCAGCGCACGATCAACGATTGTCATTATGGCCAATGGACCGCGAGGCTCGGACAGCGACAAATCGTTGGCCATTACAATGGATCGAATGGAATGGCAGTCGAGGCAGCGTCTGCTGCTCGTAGCATCTGAGATCGCATCGCATCGAAGATCTGATCTGGCCGCACCGATAAACGCTGGCCTGGTGTGGCATGTGGCGTAAAGTTGTTTGTTGCACGCTTAATTGGACAGCGTTTCGTTTCGTTTCGTTTGGTTGTCGTGTCTGCTTCCTTTTTTCCTTTTTGCCTTTTCTTTTCTTTATTTTTAGCATTCGAGTGACCCAAAGACATGGCTACTTTAAAGGGAAAGTGCCACATCAAATGCTTAGGGGGATGGCCAAAGCTATTCATCGGTTGCGAAATTAAACTGTGAACTAAGGGAACAAAAAGTAAAACAGATTGCTCTTCCCCGTTCTCTGCACTTGTAGCCTCAATAATAGTTCTTCCTTCTATTTATAAACGCAGCATTAGCTGCCTCTCTCTCTCTCTCTTGGGGGTCTGGATCGGATCTGGTTCCTCTGATCGGTATATGGGTCTTTTGGTCATGCCGGCTGTCTCCTCCTCTGACTGTCATAAATTGCAAAATCAACCAAAAATGGCCAATTGTCAGGTTCCTACCATATTTTTTGTTGCTTTTTTGCTTCTTTTCTCAGTTTACGGGCATCGGGACTCTGGAAAGTGTTGCCAATTTCCACGCTGGCCATTTATCTTAGCATAACTTGGAGCGCGATAATTGCATTCCAAGGCAACGCTGCAGCCACAGACTCGCGAGTTAAGTCTCCACTTTGAAGTTCGCAGCGGACAATTAGGCACGGCACATAAATTGCCATCTCATATGCGCGGTAAGAGCGCGAGCCGAGCCGAGGCGAGGCGAGGCGAGGCGCGGGCATTGATTTAAATAATAGTATTTAACTGTGGTGCTGGATCTGTGCGGCATGGGACGTGGCAGCCACAATCATCCGGCCATTTCAATTAGCCAGTGACAAACAATGGGCTGTACGAGTGCTTGGCTGGTGGCATACCTGAGGGCAGCAGATATCACTGGCTGGACGCTGAGCTCTCAATTGTTGTCCGCGAGCCTTTTGTCTGCCCCATGCGGGATTTACGGTGTCGCTCTGTCTGGCTGATAAGCGCAAGCAGACGGCTTGAAATGCTGAACAAAAGGGTCACACATTCAGGTGAGAATTGAAATAATTATGCACCAAAAACAACAACAACAGTTAGAGGCCAAAGAGGTACTGTTATAGTGGATATAACTTATGGCAGATGTGGCAGGCACATCGATGGGTTCGACTAAGTGCAAGCCAGCCCTCAATTGAAATGCAATTCCGGTTTGCACGGCACCCAAACACTTGCCATTTATCGGCGAACGCAATCTTAATTAAAAGCCGCCCCCCGTCCGACAGATAAAACAAATGTTTACTTTAAAGCCGATTGGCATCGGGGTACGCATTGGCGGGATCTGCAGATGAAATCGATTTTGAGTCGCGTTGAAAACCCACAAGCAATCGCAGCAATTAAAGCGCATGAAGGGCGAGAGTTTATTGTGGAACCTTTTCGATATGGATGCAAGGCACGCACATGACCCAGGGTGTCCGCCCCATCATTAAGGCGAGGTCTCCGCGCCGCTCCGCTCCACAGCCAAACGGGTTTCCTGCGTTGTCGTGTGAAATGTGTGTCGCTGGTGGGAGGACAACATGGACTACAGGGACCATGCTGATGATCATCATCTTCTTCGGGTTTATCTGCAGCTGCCCACACAAAATGCAGTCCAGTAAAGTTCCTTCCCTTCCCTGCCCTTCCCTTCCCAGCCAGGCCATGCCATCAAATTTATTCTATTCTGCACAATCTTTTTATGCACACTTTGGGGGTATTTTTTTTGGCTATGGCGCCGCAGCATAAACTTTATTGTCGCCACATTTCTGCTGCATACTTAATGGCGCCACGGCGGCACACAAAAAATGTGCCAACCCACAATGCCGAGTGTCAACGAACTTTAAAATGTGGCAAGGAATGCCAAATGGCTTGAGAAACTCATCCACCCACCCACTCAGGCAGGCAGGCAGGCAGGCTGCAGTCCCCCAAAACGACATCTTTGGTTCCTTGTGTTTTTTTTTTTCGGCAAATATTTGTGCAAGTCAGCAGCTAGAACCCACCCTGCACCCTGCCACATGTGGGTGTGCTATCATTCGGGTTGCATGCCTGCAGGCGCTCCTGCCACAATGGGGAAATGTTTTGGAAACATCTCGAGTGCCATTTACCATTTGAAGCGACAGTCAAAAGCGGTCACGAGGGGGTGGCTATTGCTTTTATGCTTTGTTAATGGAAGCCAGAGGGTTGGAGAGCGAAACTGAAAATAAAGTTTAGCTCGGATTAGATGTAGCCCAAGATCCAGCTAAGAGCTTGCCGTGTCAATCAACTTGCGGGCACCCCAAGGAGTAGAATAATAAAGATGCCAAGCCCACACATGAGTGCGAAAGAAACGGCCAGCGAAATGCTCAAAATAAAACGAAATCCAAGCACAAAACTCTCTCAGAATTTGCACAACTTTGGGTATATTTGCAAAAAACAATTACAACAATTACAACAACAAAAACAGCAACAACGAGAAGAAGATCGCAACAATCAATCAATCAACATCACTCCATGGCAAAAGTCGTCTTCAACATTTGCAGACTGCAGTTAGACTTGCACTCGGGAGCGGCACATGCGCCAGGCCGTCAACTCGATGACAAAACTGATGAGGGCCAGGCTGTGGCCGAGTGCGAGTGCAATTGTGGGCATAACGAAATAATCTAGATCCAACGGCTTCGCCTCCAAGTGCTCCGTGATGAGGTAGTGCAAGTGTCCCACGCTCATCGCCTCGTTGTTGGCATCCTCGGCCAGTTTCCGCGTAAGTCCGCTCTCGAAGGCATGGTACCAGGCGGTGCTCAGATGCTCCTTGAGGAACCAACGCTTGCGCATGGGAATGCCGGTGAACAGGAAGGCAAAGTTGATGGGTATGCGGCGCAGACGTGGATGCCGCAGAAAGAGCTGCGCCGTCTCGTACAGGGCCATGCGATCGGTGAAGAGAACGTAGGCGTAGCGCTGGTCAAAGCGATTCCGATGCTGCAGCAGCGTCTCAAATGTCACCGTCTCGACCACGGACCACAGCACCTCCGGCATGTTGTACTTGGCGAACAGTATGCGATCGTAGGGATCCACCAGCAGTGTGATATTGCTCTCCACCAGCTGCTCAAAGGTGTTGATCTGCGGCTCATACAACTCCGAAATGAGCATGCTCTTCAGCAGTCCCAAATACATCGTGGAGTACACGAAGCCCGTCATGAAGATCACCCCGAAGAGTATGTAGCGCTCCCGCCCTCGTATCGATTGCAGTGTGAAGCCTGCAAAGAGCAGCGAGCTGAACACCTCCAAGAGATACTTGCTGAAGTCCCATCGGCGGTACTGCTGCCAGTGCAGGCAGCTGAGGAAACTCACGATCAGCAGGACATACGCCACCAGGCACAGCCAGACACTGTTCTGGAACGGTGCCTCCAGGTAGCGGTACGAGAGCAGCGGCTTGGCATGGGCCACCATCACATTGGCATAGGCTATGCGAAAGCCATAGGTGAGGCTGAACATCTGGGGATTGGCTGCCAGCGAATCGGCGCATATGTCCACCGTTTCGTTGTGCAGGGCGAGGGTGCAGTTGCCCGGCGAATCGCTGGGCGTGTGCACGGGCACGAAGCTGGCATTCTTGGAGTCCAGAAAGGCGCGCACAAATCGCATGTAGAAGCCCGCATAGATCCTCCTGCCCCAAGCATTCACATACATGAAGCTGCGCGGCACATTCTTGTAGGCCGCCACTCGCACTGGATATCCGTGCAGATTCTTGAGCGTGCCTCTGAACCGCAGGTACTCCTCCACGGTGGTTGGATCTATCCGTACGTAGGGGAACAGTGTCTTCCCGTAGACCCCACCATCGGAGGTGGTGTGCAGCAGGAAGTGCACATAGCCCTGCTCAAAGGCATATTGCACGAAGGCCAGCCACGTGTCCTGTTCGATCGGTTTGTCTGTGACGATGAGAAAGTCGGCGTGCTGAAAGCGCAGCTCGAGCACCTGCAAGAGATCGTACGGAGGCTCTGTGCTGATCACAATAAAGAGCTGACTGCCGTCTCCTATGTGCAGCTGCAGTTGAGTTGAGTTCAGCGCTGCCCCCGAGGTGTAGATCATTCGTGTGATCTCCGCCCTGTGCAGGTATTCCGACTCCCAGTTCGACAGCTTGTTTCTC